ACGATGGCTGAGATTCAGAACAACCAAAATGTCATATTGCATTACAGTCTGGTTTGGAAGCATTACTGCATCAGACAGGAAGGTGGTGCAGAGAGTGGTGAGGATGGCAGAAAAGATTATTGGCAGTTCCCTCCCTTCCATCCAGGACATAGCATATAAGCATTGCCTGAGAAGGGTCCACAGGATTGTCTGGGACATTACACATCCTCTTCATGGCCTGTTTTTCTTGTTACTTGTAGCAGAACATCCAGATTCAGTCACAGTTTTGTTCCATACAGTATTAACCTTGTGAATTCTCAAGCTTCCTCTTTCCGCTATATATTCAAGATGGACAGTGATTAATATTTATATGTATTTATATGTAAAGGTGTAGGTATATACATATGTATGTATATAGTATGTTTTTAAGTGTGTTATGTATGTGTACAATTTTGAGAACAGGCAACAAAATTTCATTTTTAATGTGTACTAGTGTGCCCACAGTAAAAAAAATGACAATAAAGGCTATCTATCTTGTGTCCAGTGGTATCCTTGACACTTTTAAGCTCAGATTCTTCATTCCCTTCCCGTGTGCCATTTCATTTTTCACTATTTTTTTACTGTCAAAAGGCATTTTCCGTATGGCATGAAGGAGCAGCTGATGGAAATCTGAAGCTTCTTTTGCAGTGAAGAACTAATCATGTTATTCTTTTGGTGATACATTATCCTGAGCCATATTTTATTGAATAAATAACTATAACTAGATTCATAGTATAATACATTGTCAGAACCAAACAAGCTTGTTTAGCATAAGCATCCGGTACTATGGATGCTTATTTAGATGCAAGCTTCACTGATTTTATTGACTACCAGATTATTATTTACAAAGCTCAGGGAAATCTTCAGGAGGGGTGTGCTTGTTGTCTTGTTGTTATGTAGTTGAGTTTCCTGAAATTTTATCTTTGAAAGTCCTTTATAACTTAAATTTAAAAACTTAAGCCAAACAAAAAAGTCCTCCAGTGATTTTAGGCATGTTATGCTAATATAAAAATGGACTTTATGACATTTTTATAATCCATTATAAGACATAAAATACTTTTAACATCATTTTTATTGAAAGAAAATGTTTCACAGGATTAAAAAAAACTAGTCACTTAAACAGAAAAAAAATAGAAAAATGAAAAATGATGTAAAATAAAATAAAAAGTGAGAAACTGCAAAAAAAAAAAGATATCTAAAGAAATGACTTCTGGTTTTCTTTGCAGCAGTTATAGACATAATAGTCACCATCTCCACCTTTATAAATTGCCTATCTTGGTTCCCTTCTTCCCATAAACACCTCATTTTTAATTAGTAAATCCAGAAATCACCAGACATAAATTTCCTTTAAAATCTGTCAGAGGTCCACTAGGTCAGTCTTCTTTGTTTGGTATCCTCTAAAACTGTTGAGAATATACCTCCCAGAGTTCTGACAAACCTCATCTCTGAGCTCAACAGTAAATTACACATCTCCAGACACTTAATCCTTAGTTCAGTTTCTCAGTTTGACTTGGCAGAAAACTAGCAAACACAGTATGGCTAGATTAGAGAATTTACTGCAGATGAGAACCAATTCTAATTTTTCTAACTTGTTAATTTCTGTATGAGCGTCTGTCATACTACCACTTTTAAAAAGGCTTTGATTGACATCCTTCATTTATTTATTTGATAACTTTAGTTAAGTAGGAAGCTGTGTAGTTTTCAGTATTCTAAATTGTACTGTACTATTGGATTCATAGGAAGTGTTGCAATATTGACATTGCAATATTTGTGTTGTCATTTTCACTCCCATCCCAATGATGTCCGATGAAATATTTTTATTATGCTAGTCTTCAGCGATGAAGATGATCACCATAACCCATGAACTGCGTGTACATATATATATACATGTGCTATTTGTTGCTCCAGTGTTCCAGACTTAGCACTGACAGCCTGACGTGTTTTAAAAATAAGATTACTGAATCAAAGCTCAGTATTATTTTAATGTTGTCAATGTGATACATGTTTTGTTATATTAGGTTGATTCTGTACACAGCAACTCCAGATACCCAAGCTCAGAGAAGGCCTACAAGATAGTTCTTGCTGGGGATGCAGCCGTTGGGAAATCTAGCTTTCTTATGAGGCTTTGCAAAAATGAATTTCGAGGGAACACCAGCGCAACCCTGGGTATGTTTTTTATATTTTCTTTTTCTATGGCACCCATAACTGCCTGAGCTAATACATGAGTTTTGAAGATATTTGTCTCCTCAAAATATAGACACCATGGTTGATTATAATAGCTTGTCTTTCAGTCCCCTCTACATTCAACATCTTCCATGGACCTTAAGACATCCTATGTGGTTTTATTTATTTATTTATTTATTTATTTATTTATTTATTTATTTATTTATTTATTTATTTATTTATTGAATTTATATACCGCCCTATCTCCCTTACGGGACTCAGGGCGGTGAACAGGCGATAATAAAAACCATGATAAATATACGCAGATTTCTGTTCTAAAATCAAATTAAATAACAGGCCTGCTCTAAAAATACCCCATACAAAAACCCCACTAAAACATAATCAAACTACGCCAGGCCGGCCGCATGGAATAGATGGGCCTTCAGGGCTCGGCGAAAAAGGCGCAGGTCCGCAACTGTACGTAGGTCGGGGGGTAGGTCATTCCAGAGGGCAGGAGCTGCCACAGAGAAGGCTCTCCCCCTGGGGGTCGCCAGCCGGCATTGTCTGGCCGACGGCACCCTAAGGAGGC